TCCTCCTCGAAGATGCTGGCGAGGAGGGTGAAGGCGCCTCCCCTACGCGCACAATAAGGAAGGAGGGAGGGATGGAGGGGGAAGGGAGGGAGGGAGGGAGAAGGAGGATGAGGAGCAGGAGGAGAGAAGGGAGGAGAAGAGAGGGAGGAGGGAGGGGGAATGATGAAGAGGGAGGAGGGGGGAAGCGAGGGAGAGAGGGAAGGCAGGGGGAGGAAAACGAGGACAGAAGCGGCACTTCACTGCAGGCGCCCCCGCGCGCTGGCGGCGCGCACGTCGCCGCTCAGGCGATGTGCGTCACGGGCGCCGCGCGGCCTGCCATGGCCTCCGCGATCTCCTCGGCCGGCGCGGGGGTCGCGGCGCGCGGCGCGGCGGCAGCACGCTGCAGACGGGGAGGGTCGGGGGAGGGGGTGCGGAGGAGGCGAGAGGAGGAGGAGGAGGAGGAGGAGGAGCGATATCCCAAGAAACTCTGAGAGGCATCCAGGAGGCCTCTGGCCCTTTTGCTCGCCCTCCTCCTCCTGCTCCTCCTTCCTCCTACTCCTGCTCCTTCTCCTCCTCCTCCTCCTCCTCCTCCTCCTCATCATCATCATCATCATCATCATCATCATCATCATCATCAGCATCATCATCATCATCATCATCATCATCATCATCATCAGCAGCAGCAGCATCATCATCAGCAGCATCAGCATCACCAACATCACCACCATCATCCTCATCATCCTCATGAGCAGCAGCAGCAGATCATCACCACCACCACCACCACCACCATCATCATCATCATCATCATCATCATCATCACCATCACCATCACCATCACCATCACCATCACCATCACCATCATCATCATCATCATCATCATCGTCATCATCATCATATTCGTCATCAACATCATGTTCGTCATCATCATCATCATCATCATCATCATCATCATCATCATCATCATCATCATCATCATCATCATCACCATCAACACCAGCATCATCACCATCATCATACTAATATTTCTTCTCCCCACTCCCTCATCCATCCATCCAGCCTCCTTCTTCTCATCCTCCCTCCTTCGCACGATTCGGCCGTCCACCTCTCTGCTCCCACACTTCCCTGATCACCTCAAATCGCCTGGACGTCGTTTCTGGATGGGCTGGTGGAGATACTTTTGATCGCGACCGCAGCGACAAATGGGGCGGCGTCAAAGTCGAAGCGCTACGCGACGGCCTAAATTAGCGCACAGCGTGAAGAATGATGCAACGGCTTAATTCAGCGCACAGGAAGAGGAAGGCGAGAAGAGGAAGAGAAGAACGCGGAAGAGAAAGAATCAAGAGGGTGAAGCACACATGAGGCGAGCCTCGCGGACGCTCACATGAAGGCGGGCACCAAAATGCTGGTGGGGATACTATTTGTTGCAACCGCAGGCGAAGGCGCCAGCGGCGAGTCGAGTCGGCTCGGGCAACGAGCGGAACTAATTGCCGGCGCGCGCGCGGAGCTAAGCAGGACCTACCGCCGGGGGAAGCGGCTGCGCCGAAGCTGGGCAGCAGCGCCAGGGGTGGGGACTGCCAGCGCTGGGGCTGCCAGGGAGCTGCAAGCGTGCGAGTACCATGGGAGCTGAATCACCAGGTATGCGAATTAGCCAACCAAGATAGGGGCACAGACAAAATGGGCTGGTGGGGATACGCGAAGCGTCTAGAATGCACTGAGGGCCACCCACTCTCTGAATGCCCGAAGGTGCTCAACGTCGGCCAGGACGAAGGCGGCACCATCGAGCAGCTGGACGAGGGCCTGTTCCAGGTGCGCCAGAGGACGAAGGAGCGCTGCAGCACCAGTGCGGGCGACAGCGACTACGACCGCTTCGATATCGTGGTCGGTCTCCCCATGCTGCCCCACGCGGTGCCCGAGGCGGAGCCCACCGCCGAGCTCTGCTGGTGGGGGGATTGGACCACGGACGTCGGCACCAAGTCCACGGTGGTCTACCATGACGGCTCGAGCTACGAGACCTCCCGGCCTGAGCTGTGCAGGTCCGGCCGGGCCTGCATCCAACGCAGAGCGCAGACTGTGTGCCCGTCCATGCGGTGTTCGGCGCACTGCCAGGCCGATGGCAGACGGCCGAAAGAGCGGAGCGCTGGGCGTTTCTCCGGGCGCTTCGCCGCACGGACTGCCCGAACTTCGTGGTCACAGGTCTGGCGGCCCCGACTCACGAGATCTGTGGCTGGGATCCTGAGCTGGCCTCCTCCCGTGGCCAGTACAGTCGGGGAGTTGCCCTAAGGAACCCTAAATAAGGAACGGGGCCCCTTTTTTCCCATAAGTTGAACGTCGATTTCCGATGGAAAACCTCAGGAAAAGAAAAGGCAAACTGCAGAACAATCAAGGAACACCGAGCCCCTCCCCAACGAGAAGGGTTCCTTCTTCAGGGCCCCGACTGTATGCTGACATCTGGGGGATGGCATTCCAGGTCACGCGGGGCCGTGAGCGGCCGAATGCCTGCGGGTGTCCTGCCCACCTTGACGCGCAGGACCACGCAGGCCCTGCGACTGCTGTGGTAATCTGTGGGCGGATTTCTTCGCCAAAGCTGCCGCACTGTGCCACTGGCTGCCTGCGACGCTCCTGGACCTCTTCAAGGTCAAGACGAGCGACGCCAAGACCGAGGCCCACCTTCTGTCCTGGATGATGGCGGCGGCGGGCTCCCTCGCTGACTTCAAGGAGCCGGTCCCTGCTACACGACGGGTACCTGCTGACCGTGGCCACGTACAGCTGGTCAAGAAGAGGCACGAGATCGTCAAGGACGGCCAGGCCTGTATCTGCACGCAATGCACGGCGCGGGCTTCAAATGAGACCGCGTTGCTGAGGCTTGAGCGCACGTCCTGCGCGCCCTCCGCCTTGCAGCGCCTCATGGCCCGTGCCAAGCAGAAGCTTCCTTACTCTCCTCCTCCTCCTCCTCCTCCTCCTCCTCCTCCTCCTCCTCCTCCTCCTCCTCCTCGACGAGCGCCTCCCTCCCTTCCTCGTCCTCGGAGGCTATCGCTCTCCGAGCCGCCGACCGCTTCTCGGGGCCTGAGGTTGGCCATCCTAAGGCGCGAGACCCTGGACTCCTGCCGCATCGCCCGCGGGGTCTGGGGAGGCCGCTGGGGGTCCGATCCCCGCCAGCGGCCAGTCTGGGGCGGCTACGGACGCGGCGGCCTCCACGGGGGCTGCCACTGCTACGGCTGGAAGTAGGGCTGTGTGCTAGCGGTACTTTGTCTACTCTGCCTGGTGCAGACCAATTACCTCCGGGGCCCACTGTGTCTGATATCGCCACTGAGGCTTCCTACGAGTTTGCGCGTGGACATCCTCTAGTCACCACAGGCCTTTTTGTATGTATTACCTTAACTGTGGTTGATCAACATCCACCAAGCTCTCTCCCGTGTTGATGGAGACCTTTACAGGCCCAGACAACTGGAAGATGAGCCGCCTCCGTACAAGACATCTCAAGGCTGGGTGTCACCCGCGAACGGATCTATCCCTAAGCGGTGACACGCCCCGCGGCAAGGGTAACCGCTCTTTAATATCCGGGCTCCCAGGTTAATTTCGCTGGCGATGGAGAACATTGGACTCGCTATTCCTCCTCCTCATCCTCCTTCTCCTCATCCTCCGCCTCCTCCTCCGCCTCCTCAAACTCCTCCTCCAACTCCTCCTCCTCCTCCTCCAATATCATCGTCGTCGGTCGCGCTCTCTTGCTCATGGCACGGCAGATCAGGATAGCAGAATCCTCGTAGCAGAATCCTCCTCCTCATCAGATTCTTCCTCCTCCTCCTCCTCAGCCTCCTCCTCCTTTTCCGTTATACTAGCAGTAGGTGTGATGCATGATGCGTGTTCCTCCTCCTCCTCCTCCTCCTCTTCCTCCTCCTCATCATATTATTCATCCTCCCCATCAGCCTCCTCCTCCTTTTCCGTTAGACTAGCAGTAGGTGTGATACATGCTGCGTGCTCCTCCTCCTCCTCCTCCTCCTCCTCTCCTCCTCCTCTCCTCCTCCTCCTCCTCCTCCTCCTCCCCTCCCTCCTCCTCCTCCTCCTCCTCCTCCTCCTCCTCCTCCTCCTCCTCCTCGCTCCTCCTCGCTCCTCCTCCCTGGACGCACGCGACCAGGCGGCGAGCGAGTGCCCGAGGCCGCGGCCACGGCCGCCCGTCCCCTCAGAGTTGGACGGGCACGGGGGGGGTGCGGGGGGGAGGCTGTAGATGGGGGGGAGGGTAAGCTAGGTGCGCTCGCGCAACGCTGCGCAACAGTTGGCATCCGATCGCCCCTCCCGTCCTTTTCTCATTGAGCCGATGGTGTCTTTATCAGCGGACGCGTGTCGTCGCCGACCTGGAGTTCCAAAGAAGACCCCATCGTGCCATGCGCAATCGGAGAAGGGGGGGGGCTCCGTACATAAGAGGAGGAGAAGGAGGTGGACGGTGAGCAGGAGCACGCGCATGAAAAACAGGAAAATGAGGGAGGAGCAGGACAAGGGCGAGCAGCAGCAAGACCTGGAGTCGAAGGAGCGGGAAGAGCAGGAAGACCAGGGGGCGGAGGAAGGGAAATGCTGGAGGGGGCTACAACGATGAAAACGGACTTGGATCCAGAGAAGTGGCCCGCGCTCGGGCGAGAGCGCCATTCTGAACGATGGGAGCACAACGCCGATCCGAAAACGAGGCCCACGCTGCAGCGGGAGCACCTTTCTGAAATACCGAAAACAATCGGAGTGCAACGCAACAACGCTGTAACACATAAGCATGAACAATAAAACACAAACCAGTTTGACCAGATGCGCAGAACAAAGGGTGAAACGTCTTCCAGACCAGATAGAGTCAGGGAAAAAGGGAGTAGTACTCAAGCTGTGTAGCTGTGGAACGAAAGAAGGAAGGAGAAAGGAGAAGTGGGGAGGAGGAGGGGAGGGGACAAGGAGAGGAGGAAGCGGAGGGCAGGGGGGACGCAAGGCTCTCTTGCAAGATCGGGCCCATCGCTACGAGCCCATGGTTTAGGCTTCCGGAAGCGGGATCCTTGGCCATCTCGTCGCCGAGCGTTGAAGTGTTCGTCCTGGTGCCCAGCTGCACCGCTGCTATTTGGCCATCAGGTCCAACCTCTCCGGCTGGGGAGAGGGCCCTCTCGAAGCCCAATCGCGTCCTCCCTCTTCTCCCATCCATCCACGCATGCATCCCACCCTCCCCGTTCGCTCCCCTCACCCCCATTCCGCACTCCATCCTCCAATATCAATGTTCTTCCCTCCCCTCCCCTCCCCTCCCCTCCCCATCCCGTTCCTCTGCCCCTGATCTAGGACGAGAAGAATATATTGACACAACGTGTTATTGATACGTTCCGGAATTCCGCGATTTCTAACAGCCTTCGCGCGGGGTACACGTTGCGTCGAGTATTGTCTACTCTGCCTGGCGCCGTTGGTCGGTCACCCATTCGCAATCGAGTAGTCGCCCGTAGGGGGCTATTTGGCAGTTGCTGGTCCCCTTTTCGTCGCCGAACGCGCGGGGGGCGGTGGCGCACCGTCCTATCGCCCGCCGCCGCGCACTGCGCGCCTCGGCGGATTTGTCAAGACCCAGCAAGGCAAATTACGCGCGACTCTGGAAAATTCTCCTGGGATAAAGATTTGAAAAATCCGGGAACGTTTGTGAAAATGCCCCGCCTGGTTTTTGAAAAATCCCAGAATTGATTTTGAATAATTCGGGAATCGATTTTGCAAAACTCCGAAATCTGTGGTGAAAAATTCCGGATGTCAGAATCCTTCCGATGTCCTGTGCGGCGGGCGCATTTCACCCCTTCAATTCTGTAATACACACATACATACATGTATATATACACATACATATATACATATATAAACAAAAGCATAAAAAACATAAACATCCCGACTCATTTTTGAAAATTTCCGGACACCCCTTGCGCCAAAAAACGGAAGCGCTTTTTCGAAACATTCCACAATCCGGAAATAATTTCCGGGCGGTCCGACGGACGCGGCCGGCTGATTCACGCACCGCACCGCGTGCGATTGGGCGCAGCGCGCGCCGCGCCCTGCGCCCGCGAAGAGCACAGGAATGGGTTACCTCGAAAATCGCGCCACGGCAGCTGCGACTCACGGACTCACCAAGAGCAAAACAGAATGCAGCTTGGAATCTCCGAGGGCGCTCCGATGCGCGAAAAATGCACCGCGCACATCACGCAAAGAACCTGCGCGACGGAATGCGCTCGACCATTCGTCCCTGGAGCCCGCGCAGAAGAACGGGAAAACCTGAAAATCCTGAAAACTATCAATATCAATACTTCATGCTCCTCTGATGATCGCACTGCCTCTCTCTCTCTCTCTCTCATTCTCGCCCCCTCTCATCCAATATCATCCTCCACCTCATCCTCAATGGGCCCCTCCCTCGCCATTATATGTTCCCTCCTCCCTTCCTCTTCCATCATCCCCCCTCACTCTCTACGACCTCCCTTTTCCCATCCTCCTGATTCTTCCTTCCTTCCTCCGTCCTCCTCCCTCCGTCCGGCTCATGCTCCTGCTCCTACTGCGGAGCGGGGGGGAGGAAGGGAGGAAGGGGCACTGCCAAATGGGGGAAGTGATCCGGGGATCTTCGTCGACAGAAGGAAGGATGAGGCAGAGCGGGGGAAAGGGGACGGGGGAGGGCGGCAGGCGGAAGGGGCGAAAGGGGCGGAAGAGGCGGGGGAAGGAAGGGGAAGGGGGCGGGGGAGGGTGAGGGGGAGGAGGGGGGGAAGAAAGGGAAGGGGGGCGGGGGAGGGGGAGAGGGGGGGAGGGGGAGGGGACAAGTTAGGTGCGCTCGCGTCAACATCTGACATCCTACCCCTCCCTCCGATCCCTTACCATGGCGCTGATTTTCTCTATCGCGGACGCGTGTCGTAGCGGACCTGTGGCTCCGCGCGCGTGCGTAGTGGGTGGTGGTGCGCGTGCGTGCGTGCGTGTGTGCGTGGTTGTGGTTGTTGTGGTGGTGGTGTGTATGTGTGTGTGTGTGCGTGTGTGCGCGTGTGCTGTGGTGTGACGTGGTGTGGCGTCTTGGTGGTTTGGTGGTGGGCCAGGTGCGTACGTGCGTGATGGCGGTGGTGGTGGTGGCGGTGGTGGTGTGTGTGTGTGTGTGTGTGTGTGTGTGTGTGTGTGTGTGTGTGTGTGTGTGTGTGTGTGTGCGTGCGTGCGTGTGTGTCTGTGTGTGCGCGCGTGTGATGTGGCGTGACGCAGTGTAGGGTGGTGGTGGTGGGTGGGTAGTGCGGTGGTGGTGGCGGTGCGCGGTGGTGGTGCGCGTGCGTGCGTGCGTGCGTTGGTGGGTGGAAGTGGCGGTGGGTGTGCGTGCGGCGGGGCGGGGCGTGGTGCGGCGCGGTGGTGGCGGGCGGATGGGCGCGCGAGAAAGAGGCCCGCGCTGGGGCAAGAACGCCATCCTGAACGACGGAGGCAAAACACCGATCCGAAAATGAGGCCCACGCTGCAGCGGGAGCACGATTCGGAACGATTCGGGAGCAGAAATGAAGCCGGCGCCTCAGCGAGAGCATCATTTTGAAAAAACGCAAGCGAAAACCCAACTCCCAGGAATCCTGTGTGTAAAAAACAGTACGCGGGGGGGGGTCGAAGATTCCCAGGACGCCATCAGGGGAAGAGGGAAAGTAGTATTCAGATTGAGTAATTGTAAAAGGGGAAGGGGGGGACGAGGGGGGGGAGGAGGGGGGCAGAGGGCGGGAGAGGGGGAGGGGAGAGCGGGGAGGGGAGGGGGGAAAAGGACGGGGGAAGGCCCAGCATCGCAGCCGCGGGGGCGCGGCGCCTCGATCTCGGGGGGGTGCACCTGGTCCTCGCACCGGCACGTCCTCGCGTGCACCGAGTAGGTGTGCCTCCACAGCGGGGGGGGGGGGCGAGCGGCAGAGCGAGGGGGAGTAGGGGGCGGCGCGGGGGCGGCGGGAGCAGCAGCCAGAGCGGGCGCTCAAGGGGGGAACTCTCTGGGCGACCCACGAGGGGGTCCACCTGCAAGAGAGTGGTATCCGTGTCATCACGCTCTTACACATCATTATGTTTCCGTTATGTTTCCCGGTCGTCCTCTGCGAACCCCCACCGCAGCTCAGAGCACGCCGTCCGCGCAGCCATTCCTTTCCAAAGGGCGCGATGTCACAAGGCAGCGGCCCCATCAGTGTGTACATTTAGCAAGGCAGGCGGCATCCCAAAACCCTCCTGCACCCCACCGAGGCCCTAGGTGCCCCCGAACCAATCCATCAAACCCCCTGCCGTCTTAAAGCGTCACCCCAAGCGGCCCTGGACCAGAGCTCACGCGAAACGTGTTCGAGGTCCCCACCTGGGCCCATCCTAACTAGTTTTCCAAACCGCGTCCACTCGCGGAGTTTTTTGTCAGCAGCGAGGGCGGCTGCTAACGCGTTATAATAGCCGGCGGGCCGCGCTGGGGCCACATTAAGTCACATAGGCACGACCCTTTTGGCAAACGCCAGCCAGTGGGTCGAGCACGTTTCTTCCATCGGGACATGGCCGTTTCCGGAAACCTTGCATCAAACAAACGCATATTTCAAGGGCGCATGCGCTGTTTCAGCTGGCGTTGCGCAAGCGTTTTGCCGCCCCCCGCCGGCGAGGAAACGCAGACCCACTCCGCGGACCAGGCCCCAGACCCATCCCCGCGACGGCGAGCCCCTCGCGCGCCGAGGACGACACCGCCCCCATGGCGCGGTGCGCCGACCGTGGCGACGTGGGCCCCCGTGGGGCGGTTGCGTTTACCCCCCACGCCCACTGCAAGACGCGGAGCAGATGGACTGGAGAGATAACGCGGGATGTGTTTAAACCAATGTCCGCAAGGCGTTCCTAATATCTGACAAAAGCTTGCTTGTTTCATACACTTTTATATCGTACTCAAACAATCCACATAAACAGTAACCTGGACACGTACCCAGCCCTTTGGAAACATGTGAAGACTATACACAGGACTGGTCATTGCAAACGAATAGTTTGAAAGACCCACAGTGCGCAGGAACACTCAGGAGCAAAATCAGCGGAGCGCAACAAGGGGAGCAACGACAAACACCAAAAACTTGAAATTAAAGGGCGTTTGAAGGCAAACGCCCGAAAAGTGGACGCCAAAGGGCGCGGCAGCGGGCATAACGAAACCAAGCGCCCGAACTGGCCAACAAAACAGCGGGTCAACGCAAGGAACCAGAAGCACCCAAAGGTGGAAACAAAAGGGCGCCTCAGGAAAGGCTCCAAAAGTGGAGACCAAAGGGCGCGGCAGAGATCGCAAGGAGAAGAACCTGAGGCATCCAGAAATGATATGTGGGAGTAGCAGCCCAGCGCGCTCCGCCTGCTTTACAGGACAGCGCCCTGCGCGCTATGACAGAACAGCGCCCTGCGCTAAATGCTGCAAGTGTCTGAGTGCTTTGCGTGCCACGCGCATCTGAAGAAGGGATTCGGCATGGGCAACGGGACAACGCCATGCGCCGTGCGGCGCGTGGCATTCCCATGCGACGCGCTCTGTGATTTAATAGCGCCGCGCGCTGTGCGATGGGAGAGCGCCACACGCTATGGGAGGTTTTGCCGCTTCTATACGCGACTGGTCGCCGCAAGTTGAAGGCGCCGCCACCCGCGCCATTGAAGCGTCAGCGCTTGTGCACAGCACATCGGCTGCAACTGCTGGCGGGAGCCGTCTTCAGTCATGCAAGAACTTGGCCAGGACGAGCTTCTTTCCTGCAGCGCCCCGCGCGGGTGCCGAACATCCGAACGCGGGCAGCCAAGTCCGCCAGTGGCCCCTGGGCCAGCAAGTCGAGGCCTGGATCGCGAATCATCAAGAGGTTGTCCGACGTCGTCGCCCTCGAGAACACGGCGAACGAGTGGAGACAGGATCCGTCCATGTCGCGAGTGTCTTAATACCCGGCGTCGACGATGACGCCCTCGCGCGTGGTCCAGCCCTGGCATGCTGTCGACACGAGCACGCTGGCGTTAGAAATCTGCAGTCCTGTCCGCGTCACTCTGTGCTTGCAGAAACCAAAAACGAGTCGATGTCCGCGGTTCGATGAACACCAGCCGCTGCGCGTCCAAGACGTCGACCCCCGCTGCGCACTCCGCCAGTCGGTCGCGGAAAAGGGGCCGCCCTGCACATGTCCATGCAGAACCACACGCCGAGTGGCAAGCAGCGCAGGTACGCGGGGCGGCTCTCGGCCCTCGCACGTTCCACCTCGTTCACGCCACGAGGGTTGATGGCCACGTGCACGATCTCGCCTTCGGCGTCCTTGACCAGCTTCCGCTAGAAATCGAGGTGATCCAGCAAACGAATTCGCATGCCCAAGTGCACCGGCAACATCCCGTGCATGCCGCCGGTGGTGCCTGGGTTCACCTGGTTCAGCAGCTTCGCGGTCAGGTCCACCGGCAGCGTGGGCGAGGACGCATTGGCGGCCTGCTCGAGGTAGAGGACTTGGAGATCTGCGTGGACCTCCACCCCGCGGGACCTCCCAGGAACCCACGAAAATGGCGACAGTTGCGCGGCTCGCAACCCCGCAGGGAGCCGCGATGTCTCGGCAGATTTGCGTGGACCTCCGAGCTGCGAGGTCTCGGCAGATCTGCGTGGACCTCCATTCCGCTGGACCTCCCAGGAGCCCATGAAAATGGCGACAGTTGCGCGGATCGCAAGCCCGCAGGGAGCCGCGAGGTCTCGGCAGATCTGTGTGGACCTCCACTCCGCTGGACCTCCCAGGAGCCCACGAAAATGGCGACTGTAGGAGGAGGAAGGAGAGAAGAGAGGAGGAAGGGGAGGGAGGAAGAGGAAAGAGGAGGGAGGGGGGGCGGAGGGAAGACGAAGCAGACAATGCTAGATCCAAAACAAGAACCCAACACGGGAGATTTAGGAACAGAAGCAACAAAAAGTACGTAAGATGCGGAGCAGCCTGACCTCAGAGGCCCCACGGAGAGCAGTGCTAGCAGCACGCGTGCTTCGCTGTGCACGCGCTGAGTCCAGGACAAAAGTCATCACGGGGCCGAGGTCGATACCTCTCCACGCTGCTGCTCGCTGCAAGGGGATCGTCCTGGCACCAAAGTCGGGCTCAGCACCGCGTCTCGAGAGCCTCTGCAGGCCGTGGCGCAGGCGTGGCTCGGACGCCAAGGCATAGGCGTGGGCAAGGGCTAAAGTTATACCGATGCAATGTGAACCTCCCCCTCCTCCTCCTCCTCCTCCTCCTCCTCCTCCTCCTCCTCCTCCCTCCTCCTCCTCCTCCTCCTCCTCCTGCTCCTCCTCCTCCTCCTCCTACTTCACATCCTCCTTCCTCCCCAATCGCCCACACAGCCTGCGGCTGTTGACTGCAGTTCAACTCGAAAGATCTTCTTCCATGGTTGAGCGTAAAGGAGGCGCGGTGTGCACCACCTCGGGTCATCGTCGCGTCCGCCTGTGACCCTCTTCGAGGTCTCCATAGATCGTTTCCCCCAATTCCTTCTTGCAGGGCTTCGTGCCCGAACCACTGAGTCATCTTCCTCATCCTTTCTCTGCTCATCATGTTTTGCCTCTGGTCCATCTCCTGCTGCTGCTGCCACTGATGATACTGCCACTCCTCATCCTCCTCGTGTTCCTCCTCCTCCTCCGCTCATGGCTTCTCGTCTTCCTCATACGCCCCCTTCCTCATCACGCGCAGCATACAAATACCATATTATTGGCATGTTGGGTTTATGCTCCATCTCCTACTCCACTCCGCGGTTTCCTTCCCCCCCCCTGTCAACGTTTCCACCACATCCTACTCACTTGCTTCCAGTCACACTGGATAGGCCGCGGAGTTGCACTATATGCCCATATGCGTCGTTCTCCTCCTCCTCCTCCTTCTCCTCCTCTGCCTCTTCCTCCTTTTCATTTCGCGTTGCTATGTTTATTATCCTAATGAGTAGCGTAACTATTATTCGTAATAGCATCACTAATAACCGTAATGTTACATTGAAGTATCGTATATGAGCGTTCCCCTCTTCCTCTCTTCCTCCACCTCATCCTCCTTGCCCTCCTCCTCCTCCTCCTCCTCCTCCTCCTCCTGCCTCCTCCTCCTCCTCATGATTGTTTTTGTTTTGACTCGCCATCTAAGCTTCCCTCTTGCTCCGCCGGGTCCATTCCTTCCCAGGCGCCCTCCACACTGGCCTGCCGGAGGGCGCCAACTATAGATATACACCGATCCTGGCCAGGCCGATCCTGGGCTCAAGATCGGCCGGACCAAGATCGGCGAAGGTTTATGTCGGTCATGTCCCCCTACAGGGCGATTTTCGACGAAAAGATTGAAATACTCAAAACATATTCAAAACTTGCCAAACATACTATTATAACAAAAAAACTCTCCTGACTACTTATTTCCCCCCTGTAGAGGGACAGGCCCGATTTCAGTGTAGGCGCATAAACGGCGTCCTCCCCATACTGATGCTTCTCAGGGTCAGCCATCAGTGCCTTCGCGGTCCTTTCGGTATGGGGGCCTGTTGGCAGCTTGCGGGGGCTGTCTCGGGGATCAGGACTTTAGGGCTCACGTTGGACCCTCTTGAGGTCGTCCTCCCGTCTCGCTGCCACCACGCCATCCTTGCCCGCTCCACCACCAGCGCGGGCGCCTGCCCACGCCCGGCGCGTCGGTCAGCATGCCCACGGGGTACTCGCTGGAGGCCTGTGGGCGAAGCTGGGAGCCCACTGCTGCGTGGCATGGATGTATCCATATCCACCGCCTGTGGAACCGACGTCCTGGGACCCCAGCTGGCGGTGGATACGGTTACGTTTTGGCCCCAGGGTGGCCCAATATATGAAAGAGCGCGTGCTGCCGCTACTGGCGGAAAGCCGGGGGGTCACTGGAGATTTCCAACCCGTCCCCCCACCCGTCGAAAACTGGGGGAGGGTCACTGAGGGTTCCTAACCCCCCCACCGGTCAGTCATGGAAAGGGGGGTGGTCACTAACGGTTCGAACCCCCCCTTCCCCTCAACGCCGCCGGAAAACGATTTCCCCTCCTCCCCCACTTCGGATCGGGGTGCTGGGGACAGTGGTTGGGACGGTGGTGGGGATGGTGGTGGGGAGTGGGGACACTGGGACTGTGGTGGGCACAGTGGGGACAAGGGGGAGAGTGGGACCGTGTGGGGACAGTGGTGCGGACAGCGGGGACAGTGCGACACTGGTGGGGACAGTGGGGACAGTGGTGGGAAGAGTGGGGACAGTGGGACAATGGTGGGGACAGTGGGGAACAGTGGTGGGGACAGTGGTGGTGGGGACAGTGGTGAGGGGACAGTGGGACAGTGGTGGGGACAGTGGGGAAAGTGGGACAGTGGGGGGACGTTGGTGGTGGGGACAGTGGCGAGGGGACAGTGGGACAGTGGGGACAGTGGTGGGGACAGTGGGGACAGTGGGACAGTGGTGGGGACGGCGGTGGGGACAGTGGTGAGGGCGGTGGTGGGGACGGTGGTGGGACAATGGGACAGTGGTACAGTGGGGAGAGTGGTGGGGACAGTGGGAAAGTGGGACAGTGGTGGTGACAGTGGGGACAGTGGGACAGCACAGTGGGACAGCGGTGGGCACATTGGGACAGCGGTGGGGACAGTGGGGAGGGTGGGACCGTGGTCGGGACAGTGGTGGGGACAGTGGTGGGAACAGTGGGGTGGGACAGTGGCGGGGACAGTGGGACAGTGGTGGGGACCGTGGTGGTGGGGACAGTGGCGAGGGGACAGTCAGTGGGACAATCAGTGGGACAGTGGTGGGGACAGTGGGGATAATGGGACAGTGGTAGGGACGGTGGTGGGGACAGTGGGAGGGCGGTGGTGGGGACGGTGGGGACAATGGGTACAGTGGGGAGAGTGGTGGGGACAGTGGGAAAGTGGGACAGTGGTGGTGACAGTGGGGACAGTGGGACAGCACAGTGGGACAGCGGTGGGCACATTGGGACAGCGGTGGGGACAGTGGGGAGGGTGGGACCGTGGTCGGGACAGTGGTGGGGACAGTGGTGGGAACAGTGGGGTGGGACAGTGGCGGGGACAGTGGGACAGTGGTGGGGACCGTGGTGGTGGGGACAGTGGCGAGGGGACAGTCAGTGGGACAATCAGTGGGACAGTGGTGGGGACAGTGGGGATAATGGGACAGTGGTAGGGACGGTGGTGGTGTGGACAGTGGTGAGGGCGGTGGTGGGGACGGTGGTGGGACAATGGGACAGTGGTACAGTGGGGAAGGTGGTGGGGACAGTGGGGAAAGTGGGACAGTGGTGGGAAGAGTGGGGACAACGGACAGTGGTGGGGACAGTGGGGGCAGTGGGACAGTGGCGGGGACAGTGGGGACAGTGGGGACAGTGGGGAGGGTGGGACCGTGGTCGGGACAGTGGTGGGGACACTGGTGGGGGCAGTGGGGACAGTTGTAGGGACAGCGGGGGACAGTGCGACACTGGTGGGGACAGTGGGGACAGTGGGACAATGGTGGGAACGGTGGTGGTGGGGGCAGTGGTGAGTAAGGTGGTGGGGACCCAGGAATCGTTTGTCGTTTGACGGCGGCGAGTGTGGGGGTGGAGGGAGGGTGCGAACCGGTAGTGACCCCCACCGGTTTTCCGAAAGGGGGCGGGGGAGGTTCGAACCGGTAGTGACTCCGTCTGGTTTTCCGAGTGGGGGGGTTCGAACCGGTAGTGACCATCCCCCGGTTTTCCGGAAGGGGGAGGGTGTTGGGGGAAGGGTTTTGCTGGGGCCAAGGTAGGGGGGGGGTTCGAGCAGAGGGGGGGGGTCGGACTCCCCAGTTCCTGAGGAAGAGGGGAGGATTTTCCACAGCAAAGCGGCGGTGGATCACTCTCTCTCCAATAAATCCCCGCCTGGGAACTGCGGCGCAGGACTCCTGCTTTGTGTTTCAGTGGTTCCAGTATGCTCGTCCCCCCTCGTCTCGTGACGATGCAAAGAGATCCCGTCCCCGTCCTCCTCCTCCTCCTCCTCCTCCTCCTCCTTCCCCTCCTCCTCCTCCCTCCTCCTCCTCCTCCTCCTCCTCCACCTCCTCCTCCTCGTTGGGCAGCGCGGCCATGAGGCAAAGGTAGCAGTGCAGAGGGAAAGACAGCTGGGCCTCGACAGCGCGCAATATGCCGAGGAACTGTTCGGGCGCCCCGATGGGCAAGGAGAGCAGACAGCGCGGAGCCCACTGGTCCACGCCAGTAGAAGTGCACGAGAACAAGAACGCAAACACGAAAGGGGTGACGCATGTCCAAGGACCCAACGTCGGCGACAGCCGTCTGTGCCAACGCCCGTAACTCATCACGCCCTACATTCAAACAAGCACGGACAACAAAAAACACGGAGTCCTTCAGTTGCCCCAGAAGGTCCCCCCGTGGCCCAGCATGCGAACGAGATCGTTCACAACGCCCTGGGTGGGGGGGTCTGGGAATACTTCGACAAGCTGTGAGAGACCCGAGCGGCGGCGGCGGCGGCGGCGGCGGCGGCGGCGGCCCGCGCCAGCGGAGCAGGGGCGGGCAGGGCTGGCCGACGCGGCGGAGGCCACGCAGTGCAGCCCTGCGTGCGGGTGGCCGAGGTTGCGGGCGCCTGCCGTCATTGGGAGGGGGGGGGGGGAAGGGAGGAGAAGGATCACGCGAAGCACGAGGAGGAGCACGAGGACGAGCACGAGGAAGAGCACGGGGAGGAGGAGCAGCAGCGGCAGGAGGGCGGAGGAGGGCGGAGGAGGGCGGAGGGCGGAGGAGGGCGGAGGAGGGCGGAGGAGGGGACCGGGCGCGTCCCCAGGCGCCAAGGAGTGTAGACTCTAACGGGCGAGCGCGCCATCTTTGAACAAACCCCGAGGCCTCCACCGCAGGGAACATCAAAAAGCGTGCGAGGGAGGAGAGGGAAGAATGAGGAGTAAGGCGGAGGAGGGAGGTGAGAGGGAGGGGAGGCAGAAGAGGAAGGAGAAGAAGGTGGAGACGGAGCAGGAGAAGGAAGAAGTGGAGAAGAGGGAGGGGCACGGGATTGCGTGGGGAGGGAGGGAAAATGAATAGGGAAGGAGAAAGAGGAGGAGCAAGCAAGATCAATAAGAAGAAAAGGGGGGAGGGACGAAGCTGGGGGCCGCCTTCCACAAGATGAGATCGGGATCCAAGGTCGCAGCCAAAGCAGGAACGACAGCGATAATATGTTCCTGACCCTGATCCTCTTCCTGCTGATCATCCTCATCATCACAATCATCATCATCAGAATCATCATCATCATCATAATCATCATCATCATCAGCATCATTATCAGCCGCAGCATCATCTGCATCATCATCACTACCATCATCATCAGCAGCATCACCACCATCATCATCATCATCATCATCATCATCATCATCATCATCATCATCCTCATCAGCATCATCATCATCATCATCATCATCATCAGCATCATCATCATCATCATGATCAGCATCATCATCATCAGCATCATCATCCTATTCCTCCTCCTCCTCATCATCAGCATCATCATCAGCATCGTCATCGTCATCATCAGCATCATCGTCATCAGCAGCATCAGCATCATCAGCATCATCATCAGCAGCATCATCAGCAGCAGTATCAGCATCATCATGAGGACCAGCATCATCATCATCATCATCATCATCATCATCATCATCATCATCAGCATCATCATCAGCAGCATCGTAATCATCAGATTCATCATCATCATCATCATCATCATCATCATCATCAGCATCAGCGTCATCGTCATCAGCATCAGCATCAGCATCATTCTGAGTATCAGCATCATCATCAGCATCATCATGGTCACCATCAGGCTCCTCATAGTCCCGTCCTCAGCATCATCATCATCATCAGCATGATGTCCAGACTCGTCATCATCATATGCCGTACCATCCAGCTCCTCCTCCTCCTCATCATCATCATCATTAACAGCAGCAGCAGCAATGTCGGCATCATCACCAGAATCAGCATACTAAGCATCAGCATCATCATCAGCAGCAGTGTCATCATCAGCATCATCAGCATCAGCATCATCAGAATCACCATCAGCATCAACATCATCATCATCATCATCATCATCACCATCATCATCAGCATCATCATCATCATCATGATCATCATCATCATCATCATCATCATCATCAGCATCATCATCATCATCATCATCATCATCATCATCATCGTCATCGTCGTCGTCGTCGTCGTCGTCGTCGTCGTCGTCGTCGTCGTCGTCGTCGTCGTCGTCGTCGACATCATCGACATCGTCATCAGCATCCGCATCAGCATCGTCAGTATCAGCATAGTTATCATCATCGTCATCATCAGCATAATCAGCAGCATCAGCATGATAATCCTCATCATCAGCAGCAGCATCATCACCCTCTTCCTCATCGTCATCGTCATCGCCATCGTCATCAAAATCATCATCATCAGCATCAGCATCAGCATCATCATCATCGGCATAGTCATCGTCAGCAGCAACATCGCCATCACCATCGTCACCACCACCATGCTCACCACCGTGCTAACCGCTAACCATTACTATGCTGATGATCACCAGCATAACTCACAATCATTATTGAGATCACCGACACCATGATCATCCTCACCATCAACGTCATCAACATTATCAGCAGCAGCATCATCATCAGCAGCAGCATTAGCATCATCGAAAATGAGCCTAAGTGGCTGACGGTGGCACCCATGGTTAGGTACGCAAGTGAGCTCTGGAGTGTGCATGCAGATGCGCACCGCTGGCCTTTTTCGTCTGCTGAGATCCGCCAGGCGTGGGCGGTTGCACAGAAGAGGCTGGCACCGTCCTCCTGAAGCTTGCGCAGGGACCCTTCTCTGCCATGCTGTTACCCCTGAAACCAATTCAGTGGAATCTCATTGACTGGGTCACGCTCAGGAGCGCTGTCGGCGAAAAGCAATGTATCACGGCGGTCTGTCCAGGGCTCTTGAAGATTCTCCTGAGGCAGACGGTGTTGCGCGGCTTGGAGGGACGCGTGGCTGACAACCCGCAGTTGGATTGCAGGAGGCTTTGCTTCGATACGATCAGGCAAGCCCTCAGCTCGTCCACGGTGTCCTGAAAGGAAAGGCGGCGGCCAGGGTTCGTCGGATGTGATGAAAGCTGGACATTGAAGAAAAGCCAGACGCTTGGGATATGAGTTCGACTCGGTGACTTGCCCATTTTGCGGCAAGGGCCCTGACACGTTGCTGCACAGGTTCTGGAATTGCCCAGCATGTGCAGAGGACCGAAAAGAGTTGGTGCCTAAGGATGCCTGGGACCTGTATCACAGCATGGACCCCGATAACCCGCAGGACCTCCTCCTCATCCTCACTCTTGGCATGTTCCCCCATCCTGGAGGTCATCGGCAGGGCCTAGACCCGACACGTTTGGAAGTGCGCCTTGGTAGTGGGAAGAGGGGGTGGTGAACTCGGAAGAGAGCGTGGTGTAAGCTGAACTGTTCGTGGACGGAAATTGCACACGGCACGTGATCCCCGAACTTCACAGGGCTGGCTGGCGTGTTTCACTTTTTCCAGGCTCCCAAAAACTGACGGGACGATGCTTCGGGAAGGTCGTCGGTGCGTTTTCCCAGACGGCCCAAGCGGGCGAGTGTGCGGCTTACGGGTGTGCTTGCCAGGTCCTGAAGGGCGAGGCTAACATGTACACTGACTGCGCTACCGCGCATGTACAGGCTAAGAGAGCCCTGTGCGAGCAGATGCACTGTCAAAGGCCGTATGTGGGGCTGCTGCTTTATCCGCCACCGTGCTTTCAGCACGTAGTGGAGTGCCCCAAAGCTCATGCAGCCCTGAGAACTTCAGAGTTGCAAAATGTTAAAACCCCGTGCCGCCGGTTTCACAAAAATTCCCAAAGATTCCCAAGGATTCCCAGGGATTCCTGGAAATTCCCAATGATTTCCAGGGATAACCCGGGTGTGTCGCGCGCGTCCTCGGACAGCGCAGCCGGCCCAACATGGGCCCAAAAAGCGCCCAAGAGGGCCGAAGATGCCTCCGAGAAGAGTGCCCCAAGAGGCCCAAGATGGTTCCAAGACAGCCCACAAGGCCCCCGACAGGCACCAAGAACGCTCTAAGAGGACCCCCAAGAGGGTCCCAAGAGGGTCCAAAGAGGCAAAGATCATATTTTCCATCGGTTTTTCATAGTTTTTCGGATTCTAGCTTTCCCAGCTTCCGACGCTCCAAGACGGGTCAAGAGGCATCCAAGACCGCTCCAAGATGGCCCAAGAGGCCCCTAAGATGGCCCCAAGAGCGCCCAAGACGGCCTCACGACGGCCCCAGAAGCGCTAAAGAAAGCCCAAGAGGGTCCCAAAGAGGGGCCGAAGCGAGGGGACACGAACCGACAATTCAAACCTCCCGCTCCAAGAAGCCCCCAGGAAGCTCCAAGAGACCCCCATGAAGCCCCCAAGAGGCTTCCTAGAGGCCCACAAGAAGCCCCAAGAGATCCCGACACGACCCTCAAGAGGCTCCACAACGGCCTCCTGTAGGTGCCTGCTTCTGCGCGAGGTGAGCACCAAGGCCAGAATCAGCGAGCCTTGAGCCCTCGCGGTTG